AGATAGAAAAAGCAACTTAAGTCCTAGAAAATAGAAAATGTAATTTTAAACTGTTCCAATAAAGCTGGAGGAGGAAGGGGAGTTTGACTAAATAGAATAAAATACCATATTAAAGAGGGGAATGTGGAGGACTAAAAAAAAATATTTAAATAAATAAAATTTTTAAAAATTATCTTTACTACATTGGTTAGAGAGCTAGTTCAGTGGGTAAGAGTACTTGCTCAAGTTCAGGTCCCAGCACCCACACTGGGCTGCTCACAACTGCCTATAACTTCTTCAAGGGATCCTATACTCTTTTCTAGCTTCCAAGGGCACTCACACACAGGTGGCATTCATTCACAAACACAGACACACACAAACACCTACACATGCGCATAAAAAATAAAATCCTTCTTGCCAGGTGTGGTGGCACATGCCTTTAATCCCAGCACTTGGGAGGCAGAGGCAGGTGGATCTCTGAGAGTTCGAGGCCAGCCTGGTCTCCATAGCAAATCCAGGCCAGCTGAGGCTGCAGGGAGGCCTTGTCTCAAAAAGACCAAATAAATAAATAAAACCCTTCTTAAAACATTTATTTTTATTTTATGTGTATGCACATTTTTGCCTGTCTGATATATGCGCATTGCATGCATGCCTAGTGTTTGCAGAGGTCAGAAGAGGGTGCTGGATCCCTTGGAACTGGTGTTACATGAAGGATTGTAAACAGCTATGTGGGTGCTGGGAACCAAGCCTAGGTCCTCTGCAAGAGCAGCAAGTGCTTTTAACTGCTGAGCCACCTCTCCAACCTCCTTCCCTCCCTCAAATATTTTTGGGTTTTTTTTTTAAATATATTTTTTATTTTATGTGTATGCACATATTGCCTGCATGTAGGTAAGTGCACCCATGTTGTGCAATGCCCATGGAGGACAGAAGAGGCTGTTGGATCCCCTGGAACTGGAATTACAGTTGTTAGCTGCCATGTGGGTGCTGGGATTCGAACCTGGGTCTTCTATAAGAACAATGTTCTTAACCGCTGAGCTGTCTCTCCAGTCCCTGTGGGGTATTTGTTTCTCTATTTGAGACAAGGTCTCCCTGTAGCCCCAGCTGGCCTGGAACTACCTATGTAGATTAGGCTGGACTTGATTTCACAGCAATCCATCTGCCTCTGCCTCCTGAGTCCTGGGATTAAAGGCATGTGCCACCATGCCTGGCTTCCAAAAGTAAATCTTAAAAAAAATATTTTTTTTTTTTTGGTCTTTTCAAGACAGGGTCTCCCTGTAGCCCCAGCTGACCTGGAACTATGTAGACCAGGCTGGCCTTGAACTCAGAGATGCACCTGTCTCTGCCTCCTGAGTACTGGGATTAAGGGGGTGTGCCACCATGCTCTGCCCCCAAATAAATCTTTAAAAATTATTTTCATTGCAGGGTTGGAGAGATGGCTCAGAGGTTAAGAGCACTGACTACTCTTGCAGAGGACCCGGGTTCAATTCCCAGCACCCACATGGCGGCTACGAACAGTTCTTAACTCCAGTTCCAGGGGAATCCGAAGCCCTCTTCTGACCTCCACGGCATTGCATGATATGGGTGTACTCACATACATGCAGGCAATACACTCATACACATAAAATAAAAAAATAAAAATATTTTTTAAATTTGCATTTATTTGTGTGTGTGTGTGTGTGTGTGTGTGTGTGTGTGTTCTTTCCTTTCACCATGTGGGTCCTGGGGATTGAGCTCAGGTCATCAGGCTTAGCAGCAAGTCCCTTTACCCAGTGAACTATCTCACTGGCTCTCACTGAACACCTTTTAAAGCCAGAGGCAGTAGTTCAAATCTTCCCTTCCACAGGAATGAAACTCAGGACCTTTCTCTGAACCTACTATGTAGAAATCCCTTTATAGCTCATAGTCATTGATTTCTACTTATAAATAACCCGAGATTGATTCAACTGGAAGTTCACAAGCTGAAATCACCTCACCCAGGTTCTGAAATCATCACCTCACTTAGTATTCAGACAATATAACAAACCTGAATACAACTTTACAGAAACATTTTCTTCTAACTTTGCTCTTGCAATAGACAGATACTACACTACTACTCTGCCAACAAGCAGGATTCACCCTCTGCAGTCCTAGGGATATGAAGTATCACTCCAGGAAAAGAAGGGCTACAATATATATATATATATATAATAAGAAACTGCATGGATTAGAGAATATACATTGTCAAAAAATGTGCAAACTTATTAAAGGCTGCTTAGCAAGATAAGCATAATGGAATTTTGATTCAGGTTTTATTTGCTACATATACATAGCCTGACAATTCTTCCCATTTTAGGGGGATTTGAAAAGCATAAATCTGGACCAAATGTTGGCCTATGCTAAACTATCCCAAAAGACCAAAGAGATGGCTGTAGTCCTGTGTGCTGTAGTCCCAGTGACTCGGCGGCTGAGGTGGAAGAATCGTTTGAGCCAAAGCTAGACACACACACACACACACACACACACACACTTTAACAAAATAGATAAAGTCCAAAAACCCAAGAAAGGCAAGAGTTAAAAGACTTCAGGAGACAGAAATGCTTTATTGGGTCCCTGGCATGCATCCATCCCTACCCTGCTCTGCTTTCTGGCAGGACACAGAAGATGGGCTCCCCACTGGCCTTGAGAAGTGGGTGAGGCTCTAGGGCTTCCTCTCAGCCTGGAGTACTGATTGGCAGGGCTGCTACTGAAAAAAACCCCGATCTGAGCAGCAGACAGGCAGAGGGGGCAAAGCTGGGTGGGCGTCATAACAGACTTGAGTATGGGAGCCAGGCCTGGAGCTGTGGTTTATCAACGGCTGGGTCCCAGGAATGAGAAAGGTCAGGTAACCCCTAGGTATAGCCTAGTGGTTACTTTGACTAGACTTCTGCTTGGGTAAACGGTTGGTCTCAAGCTGCAAAGGTAAAAGTCAAGATCTCCTACTTGATTTCTAGACCTTAACTGAAGAGGAAGTCCAAATATCTTTCTAAAGGAAACCCTTATTATGTTTGTTTTTTGAGACAGGGTCTCCCTGTAGCCCAGCTGTCCTGGAACTCACTATGTAGACTAGGCTAGCCTTGAACTCACAGAGATCCACCTGCCTGTGCCTCCCAAGTGCTGGGACTACAAGTGTGAGCCACCACACCCGGCCTAGGAATCCCTTAACACCTAGATGTATATTGTGAGCCTTCCCTCCTTCCAGCCTCCCCTAAGAGATATGTGTTGTATGTGAGATCTATAGAAAGATCAGTAGTTTCTCTAGATGTCTTAATAGGATGAGTCAAAGATCAGTGATACATGACTTGAAAATGCAAGCAACACAAACACGCAAACACTTGCCCCTTGGGAAAGTTCTGGAGGTAAATAGGTCTATTGAGGTCAGAATAATCCCTTATTTATTTATTATTTGTTCTAGACCCTTCATAATATAGGTTAAACTCCTTGCCATTAAGGCCCAATTACTGTTTGATCAATCTAGAAAGCTGCCAAGCTTTGGATTGGGCCGAGAGAAAATGAAGGCTCATTGACTGGGAAAGCCGTCAGTATAAACTGGTTCTGCCAGCAGGTCACCTGGCCATTCGGATCCAATCATGCTTAAGATGTCTATTTATGACACACTGCAGAATCATATGGAGCCTGTGACCGGGAGCTCTGGAGAGTTTACGTTAAATCCTGACAAGAAAAAAATATGGTAAAAGAATCCAAGGTTTGGAACAAAATTCTCTTCTGAGAAACAGGACTCTGGCGATCCACTAGGTGGCCATGCTGCTCCTCGCATGTGTTATGTGATCCTGAGCTATAGGTACCATCAGCCACCATAGCTCCTGGCCTGGGCTCTCAAGACACAAGCAGTATGAACCACTCTGCTCTCCAACCCTGCCTCACATACCATGCTGCAGTGCTCCCAACAGTCCCCACACCTATGGCTCTTAGAGGGACAGTAGCTTGACCCATATGGTCTTGCTCTGGATTTGGATTGGTTCTCTTTACCCATCATGCCTCTCTCCCATCAGGAACAAGTGAACTATCAGGTCCCACTTGTTGTCTTTGCATGCTGCACTCAACCAGAGAACACTGCTCACAGACCAAAAGTGGCCAGCTTTACAGTATGGCGGAATGATGTTAAGAACTCAGATATGCAAGTTCAAGGCCAGACTGGGCTAAACAGTGAGATCCTATCTAAGGGGGAAAAAGTGAAGAAAAGGGAGGGAAAGGAAACTCAGCTATTGCAGCAAAAACATCACATGAAAGATTGGTTCAGTCCTGCAAGAGGAAACCTGAGCTTCAAACTAGCAACCAAACATGTTCTTTCTCCTACAGGGTTAGGGTAGGAGGCAGTGAGTACAGATGGACACTATAAGCTATGCCCATAGCCCACTGCTTTTCTCATACCTTAAGTTTGGAGCCTGGGAGATTTTAGTCCCTGGGGAATTCCCCATTCTCAAAGGCACAGTAATGACTCAACTGAATTGAAAGTCAAGGCTACCATCTGCCCCTTCAGGGTCCTTACACCTCTGAATGACAGATGAAAAAAGGTTATGGACACAGATAGGATGAACCTTAAAGAAGAAAATAAGATTGCTGCTGCATAAAACAGCGCAGGATTACAGCTGGAACTGGAGATTCCTGGAGTGCTTCCTGGCACCATAGTCCTGTAAAGTTGACTGTCACACAGGCAGGACCACTAAGGGGCTGAATTTAAGAACTAAACTCCAGGAGGCCAAAATCCCCATTGAGTTCTATAATTTTGGTTCAATTCGCTTAATCTTATCATTTAGTATAGAATGAGGAATTTCAAGCCGGGTGTGGTTGCGCATGCCTTTAATTCTAGCACTCAGGAGGTAGAGGCTGGAGGATCTCTTTAAGGCCAGCCTGGTCTACATAGTGAGTTCTAGGCCAGCTGGGACTACAGAGAGACCCGGTCTCAAAAAAAAAAAAAAAGGAAAAAAAAAAAAAAAGGAAAAAAAAAAAAAAAGGAAAAAAAAAAAAAAAAAAAAAAAGGAAAAGAAAAAATAAAAAGAATGAGGAATTTCAAAGTAGAATTGTGAGAAAACTGAAAGGTATCACTAGTGATACTTGACACCAATAGTAGCCCTGCCATTACCCTTAGGCTTAGTTAGACATGTCCTTGAACTCTCTAAGCAGGGAATTTGGTTTGGGCTATATGTGGGATTTGTAATAGAATACATGGGAAGAAGTCTTTGTGTTCGTGCCAGGGTGCATATCTTGGTTTTGCCCACCAAAGCCTTTCTGCCCTTCCATTCTCCATCACTGTTCTGGTTAGAATCACCATCTTAAACTGGATATGGCGGTGCACACCTGTAATCCCAGTATTTCTTCGATAAGAGGCAGAAGGATCAGGCACTCAAGGCCAGCTGCTCAATCATTATACATAGCGGGTTTGAAGTCAGCCTGGGCTATTTGAGATGCTGTTTCAAAAAAGAATCCCGTTTTAGAATATTGCCTCTCTCCCTCCGAGTCCCTGAGTACCAGACCAGATTCTCTTGCCTGGAATTTGAACTTTGAGTGAAGGGAGACTTGCTGGGTCCAATGGTGACAGCTACAGGGAGCTGTCCTGGCTCCCACTTTCCCCAAGGCTAATTGTTCAGCTATTCTTCTGGTTCTGTGAGCTACCCCTTCCTACATCCTTCTCATGAAGACCTTTTCTTGCTTAAGTTGGTCCAAGTTAATGTCTTTTGTTCAAAATCCACGTGTCCTCAAAGATATGTAGTCTCTTCCCTTAGACCCTGGATACACTTCTGCCATCCAACAGCTGCCAGCTCATGGTCTGGCATACAGCAGGTGCCCAGGGTGTGTCTGCTGAATGAGTAAGTGCATGAGCAATGCTAGAGCTTTCATTGGACACGAGGATGGAGAACTGGGGGCACACTGAGGCAAGAGGAAAAAGTGAGGAGTCACCTGAGCAAAGAGAGGTAGAGAAGTTACAAACATCCCAAGGGAAGGGGAGATGTCAGGTGGGAAGTTCCTGGGTGGGGCAGGTGGGTCTGGGAATGAGCACTTCCCGAGAGGCAGGAAGGGGCCAGTGAATAGCTGAGAGGTACTCTCAGCCTCTGGCTGTGGTGGAGGCAGCTGAGACTTGGAAAAGCTCTTCCATTCTGGATTCCTTCCTTCCCATTGTCTTCCAAATGAAGGCATAATTCCAAAGGCATTAAGTTCCCTGATACTCCGCTAAGGGGTACAAACCAACAGCAAATGCACTGTAGCACAGACTGTCAAGCTGTGCTGAAGACTGAGACTGAACTTCAGGCTAGGAGCCAAAATATAGATTAATTTTTCCAGTAGGCCTAGGAACTACATAGAGCCTGTCTGAGAAGAAGAGACCCTGACTCTATAACCACACCAGATGAGGGCAAGCAGGACACATAGTTGCTCCCTTTATTGCATTCCAAGGGGAGCAGGCTAGCTCCAGGCCTACCCCATCCCAAGTCTCAAGGAGGGATGTCTAGGAAGTACCTAGGGTGCTAGACTCCAGCACAGAAGTTCTGTGGATTAAGAGTTAATGGTTGTAGGTAGGCAGAGACACACATCTACCCAAGCACAGAATAAATTACAGCCCTCCTGGAACACCTGTGTCCTCCCCTCTCACATTGAGGAAGAGTCCTAGCCGTCTCTGACCTCACTCCTTTCAACTACAGAGTACAAGGTCTCTCAAAGTCAATACCTTCCCTCTTCCTACAGCTGCTCACAAGCCCTCATGCCAACTCTGACCTCATGAGCAGAGATCCAAGAGAAAAGGAAGAGTGCACTGGGGTGGAATGAGAGGTCAAAGGGTCTGTTCCTCACCCAGGCATTGGTGGGTAGAGTGAAGGGAGCCCTTGGCCAGACAAGCAACTAGCTGGTGAAGGGCAAGCAGCAGACTGCAATTGGGTTCAAAACCTGGGATGGGAGTGTGTGCAAGGGAGCATGAGAAGCAAGTTAAGTGTCAAAGTGACAAAAACACGCATCATCAAAGACCACTGCACGACATGACAGGCTCCAGAAGGGCTCTGGGCCCCATCTGGGCTCAGGGACAGGTTAGTTACAAGGGTAGACCCAGCAGAGAGTCTGGAGCCCTGAGGACAGGGAGAGAGCTGGGACAAGCAGGAATAGAAGGGTAACTGCTGGCCCACAGGTCCCAGAGTGCAGTATTTGCTGTGGGGTGGCTAGGGCAAGGGGTCAGAGTGCAGAACTCATGCAGAGGACTCGGGGAGCCTCCAGCAGTGACAAGTGTAAACTTTGATGAGGGCCTAGGACACCAGGCACTTGAAGGTGGGCCCCCACTTGAGGCCTGGGAGTCCTGGGTGATGATGACACCAGAAGAGGCCAGTGGGCCATGTGCCATGCCCAAAGCCTTCCAAAGAGGTGAAACTACTCAGAGAGGTTCCCAAGAGGTACCTCCTCTGGCCATCTTCTTGGATTAGTCCTGTATCAAGCACGTCTCCATCTGGTTCAAGCTGCTTCCTGGTTGGTCTGCTGCTGGGTGGAGGCCCCCAGCCTCCTGTTGGGGCTACCGCATGCCCTGGGCCTTGGAGCGCCCCTCTTGGGTGAGAGACTGTCCCAATAACTGGACAGCGACTGCCTCTGAGACCTGAGGTGTGGCCTTGGAGCTTGGAGCATTCTTGCGGGTGCCCTGAGGACTGGGAAGGCCTTTCTTCTGGGGCTGAGGACTCAGCTGGGAGCCTTTTCTGCCAGCAGATGGACTCTTGGAGCCTTTGGCCTTGGCTTGGGGGTAGGCAGCCTCAGGGCCCTTGAGGGGTTTCAGCCCCAGCATCTCACAGTAGGTATTGCACTGGTGGGAAGAGGCAAACTGGTCCAGCAGGGTAGGGAAGCAGCTCTCCTTGAGGCCTTGGTATCTGCAGACAAAAGTTAAGAGCTGAGTGGGCCCTACTGTGTGACAGGTACATGACAGCCGACATCAGGGTACATCCTCTCCTACTCCCCCCCAGTGCTACCTTAGGTGGCTGCATCCCAAATTCAAATTTAGAATATGTTCATTAAACCCTGACACAGGACTCATCAGGTGAGCCATTCTTTTAAATGTAAACTGCTGCATACTTGGGGCCAGCAGTCTATTTGGTCTGTTTGCTCATCTGATGAGTTCCTCAAGGAAAAGGAAGGGCGGAGCTCACCGACAGTCCAGAATTGCAAGAAGCCTTTTATGTGAGCATTATGGATCAGGGTGGGAATTAAGGCCCAGGATATTACCACATGGCTGTGTGACTAGGACTATGTAGCCCCAAACCCAGTACCTCAGGGATGGAGAACCACTAGGAATTAGGATATCTGACACCCTGAGAAGACTCTCCAAGAACCACTCACCCTCGCAGTTTGGTAGCAATCTGTACATCAGTCATCTTCCAGTCAACCCCTGAAAAAAAAAGTGGGGGGATGATGTCAGTCTGGCCAGATTCTAGACCCCTGTGTCTCCAGCATGGATGTCATCTTAGAAAGGAACCTCTGTCAGGTTAGGCGGCACTGCCTTTAGCACTTGGTAGGCAGAGGCAGATGAATCTTTGAGTTTAGGGCCAGCTGGTTTACATAGCAAGTTCCAGGCCAGCCACAGGTACATAGTGAGACCCTGCTTTAAAAAGAAAAAAGGTCCCATGGCTGGGTACAAACATATCTTCAGGCATCCTCTCAAAGGTCAGCAGCACCAGCCTGCTTCACAGATCTCTTTAGCATTAAGTTCATAGTATCCCCAGAAACTAGGCTCAGAGTTCAGTGACTTGGAAAGTCATACTTACTCAATCATTCAGTGATTAGACACTGCTTATTTGCAGTCATCATTGTAAGACAAAGTGAATGTTCAGTTTTTCTAACTCTATAATAGTCAAATTCTTCCAACTATTCAAGCCTGCCCCTATGGGTGAGACCAGTCCACAAACCGGATCGTCTTTTGGCTATGTACTAATGGACTAAAATTTTCTCCTTCCTTTTTTTTTTTTGGAGACAGGGTGTCCCTGTAGCCACAGCTGCCTGAAACTCCAGGCTGGCCTCGATCTCACAGAGATCCACCTGCCTCTGCCTCCAAGTGCTGGAATAAAGGTATGTGCCACCATGCCAAATTTTTTTTTGAGACGGTCTCACTGTGTAGCCCTGGCTGGCCTGGAACTTGCTAGGTAAACCAGGCTGGCCTCAGATTCCGAGATCCGCTAGCCCCTGCCTCCAGAGTACTAGAATTAAAGGTATGCGCCACCACACCCTGCTTTTAGCCTTCCTCTTAATGGGTTAGTAGTCTATCCGGGAAAGAGACAGAAGACAGAAGACAGAACAGAGGCAAACAGCAGAAATGCAACCCTGGTTGGGACTGGCTTCATGTTTCTCCATAAAGATGGCAGGTGCTTGAGAAGCCATAAATCTAGGTTAAGGCAACCTTGGAAGAATGATAAGAAAAAAAATCTCCCATCCTGGTCAAGTGTCTCAGCATTCATCTGTGATTTTCTTTCCCCAGCTCTAAGCAATTCACAGGGCTGTGGACCATTATGTGACACAGTGGAACACGCTGGAATCTGATTGGCCTGGATTTAGGTTTCAGCTCTATCACTTCTAAGCTGTGTGAAGTTAGTAATCTACTTAATATCTAATCATTAACTGTAAAGAGAGTATAACAGTACCCATGCCATGGGACATTGAGATGCTCACACATGGAGGACTCTAGTTTCATGTCTGAAATAGAGCAGCTATGCAGTAAATACCAATTTGTCATTTGTCTTTCAGCATTTATATCACATTCCATTTGGGGTTACAATAATGACCCCTTCCATGTACATGGAATTTTCATTTGCAGAAGGCTTCCCCAAATATGGTCTTAATGCTCATCACAAGGCTGAGAAAGAGAGCTAAGATGTCATTCCTAGAGAAGGCCAGGAAACCCAGGTCGGAGAGAATGAATGGCACAGCCTGCATGAACTTTAGTCCAGGCTAATTTCTTGCTTCAGTTTCCCAAAAGTTGGGCTGACAGGTATGTGCCACTATACTCAACTGAGCTTTGGTTACTCCCTGGTGAAACAGAGACTGAGCACTCTGACACCAGGTTACATCTCATGGCAGAGTCTACTCTTGAGGACAATGACAATTTCTTTATTTTAAGAATATTTTAAGGCTGGGCGTGGGGGCACAACCTTTAATCCCAGTACTCGAGAGGCAGAGGCAGGCAGATCTCTGTGAGTTCAAGGCCAGCCTGGTCCACATAGTGAGTTCCAAGACAGCTGGGGCTATAAAGAGACCCTGTCTCAAAAAGACCAAAAAAACTACCCCCCAAAAAATTATTTATTATTTTTATTTTATGTGTATGAGTGTATTGCCTGTGCGTAGGTAGGCGCACTGATGTCATGCAATGCACAAGGAGGTCAGAAGACAGCGTTAAATCCCCTGGAACTGTAGTTCCAGACAGTTGTTAGCCATCATGTGGGTGCTGAGGACTGAACCCAGGTCCTCTGCAAGAGCAGCCAGTGCTCCTAACCACTGAGCCATCTCTCCAGCCAAGGACAATGACAATTTCTTTTTTTTTTTTTAAATGAGATGGACGTTCTTTTTAAATATTTTTCTTTTTATTTAATGTGTATGAGTGTATTATTTGCATATAAGTGCACCTGTGTTGTGCAATGTCTGCAGAGGTGAGATGAGGGCATTGGATAGTCTGGAACCGGAGTTAGGACAGTTGTTAGCTGCCACGTGGGTGCTAGGAATTGAACCCAGGTCCTCTGCAAAAGCAACCAGTGCTCTTAACCACTGAGCCACCTCTCCAGCCCCCAATGAAAATTTCTAGCCTTTTCACCTTCCCAATATTTCATAAATGTTGGATGAATGAAGAATGGAAACCTAAATTTGTGAGTCAATAAATTAAATGGTAATGGTTGGTGTATTATCTAGTATTATATAGTTCCCCCTATGCACACAAGTGTACACACATACACATACACATACACATACACACATACACACACACACACCAAAGTTGAGATAGCTCAGCAGGTGAAGGCATTTGCTCAGAAAGTCTGATGACTTGAGTTTAATCCCTGGAACCTAAGTAAAATGGACAGAGAGAACTGACTCAACAAAGTTGTCCTCTGACCTCCACATGCATGTACCCACCCCCAACCCCAGCCCCCCACCTAATAATAAATTAAATACATTTTTTTTTCAGTCTTTTTTGAGACAGGGTCTCCCTATAGCCCCGGCTGTCCTGGAACTTACTATGTAGACCAGGCTGGCCTTGAACACTCAGAGATCCGCCTGCCTCTGCCTCCCGAGTGCTGGGATTAAAGGCGTGCCACCACTCCCGGCCTGGATGTGGGTTTTAAATTAGAGCCCATGTAATGTTCTACAAAACAAATTGTTTTTAAATTTTAAGTGGGCCTGAACTGTGGTCCTTTAAATGCCACTGCAAACAGGGTGCCATAGAGCATACCTATAATCCCAGCACTTGGAAGATGGGTAGGAGGCCACAGTTTTGAGGACAGCCTGGTCTACAAGTTCCAAGCTAATCAAAAGATGCATATACCAAGACCTTATCTCAAAAAATAATTTCAGTCAAGTGTGACACCTTTAATCCCAGCACATGGGAGGCAGAGGCAGGTGGATCTCTGTGAGATCAAAGCCAGCCTGTCTACATAGCAAGTTCCAGGCCAGCTGAGACTATAGGAAGACCTTATCTCAAAATAAATAAATAAATAAATAAATTCAGGTAACCTTGTATAATAAAAAATTTTAAATCTAAAAACAGAAATATGTTTAAATGTTAAGTGGGTCTGGATCACACTCCTTCAAATGTAATTACAGTATAGACTGGCTACATGAGGCCCTGGTATATCTGAGGATAGCATGCAAAACGGTCTCTGTCCAATCCACATTACAAGATCATTGTGAAAAGCAAAGGCGAATAAAGAAAAAGTGCTTTTATCAAACATGCTTCCATCTCATTCACCTGTGCATCCTCCACCCTCATACCTGCCAAATCTGTGACGAGGAAGCTGCCATTTGTCCACTGATACAGCCAGTGCTGGAAGGTCTGACATTTCTGCATGGCCTCCAAGCTGCTGGATGCTGCTGGAGCCCCAGCACAGCCCCATTCCCGGGAACAATAAGACTGCAGAGGCTTGCCCAGGTCCTCCTCCAGGGTGGCATATGGGATATTGTTTGCAGGTCGGTAGATCAAATAGAGTGGGATGATCCTAAACATAGTTGCACCCTGCAGTGAGCCAGAAGTGTGGCCCCAGGGAGTGCCTTCCTCCTGCCCTATTCATTTTTGGATCTAAAGAAGGGCCTGTCCTGGGAGAATGCTCAGCTCTGAGCATGAAGGACAGCAGGGGAGGAAAGGAAATGGAGGCCACTAAGTTCAGAGTCAGGCTCATTCTCTGTGGTTAGTAGCACTAAAATTAAACACTACTATGTCCCCAGGCAGCCTGTGTTTGGGTGAAGGCTGGGGAAAGTATGTGCAAATAGAAAGGACACCTGCAGGAAGGCCTCAAGGGATCCAGCTTGATCACTGGCAAGTGAAGGCCAGATATGCAAGTTACTTACAGCTGACTTCCACAAAAGCTCACTGATTCTGCCTGCCTCCATTAGAATCCTGCCCAGTTTGCCTAGCTTACCCCACCCCTTCCTCTGCCACCACAGAATCCCAGAATCTGCTGTGCTCAAGCTCTGCAACTGACAAGATCTGGACTAAAGGTGAAGGGAATGAGGGTGGTGGGAGACTTTCCCAAAGGGAGCAGAGTTTGTGGGCTCACTGAGCTGAGATGGTTCTGAGGCCATATGCACATGGTTGGAATTCAGGATGGCCCTGGGAGGCTGTGAAATCACTCTCTGAGCTAGCAAAGGAACATGCTTGCGCCCCTCCTATGTACTTACTCAGGAACCTCCCCAAAGCCAGATGCTGCTCGGGCTTCAGCTGCAAAGATTTTGCAGTACTCTCGACTCATGTTCTGGATCTTGCACCCCTGTGGATTAGAAGAAACCCAATCTCATCAACAAGGAAAATCCAAAATTGTTAGATGTGACTGTCTCTGTGGGAGTGGGCCACCTGCAGGGAGAATTCCAGGCCTGCTGGAGGTAGGGCTAACTCCTTCAGGCTCTCTGTCTGTAATTTTCTCATTTGAATAGCAAGGGATTATGGGCCTTTTTTCAAACAGGTTTTCTTTCTTTCTTTCTTTTTTTTAAATATATTTTATTTTTTTATTTTAGGTGTATGAGTGTATTGCCTGCATGTATGTGAGTGCACCCATGTCGTGCAGTACCATGGAGATCAAAGGAGGGTGTTGGATTCCCCTGGAACTGGACTTAAGGATGGTTCATAGCTGCCATGTGGGTGCTGGGAATCGAACCTGGGTCCTCTGCAAGAGCAGTCAGTGCTCTTAACCACTGAGCCATCTCTCCAGCCCCATCAAACTTAGGTTTTCAAAGTGGCTTCTGAACTATGTTTCCTGGAACCCTATTGCATGGTGCCCCAGGGATCAGGGGTAGACTATCCTCCTAATCTACATCACCACCCTCTTTATCTCACATATAAATAAATCCAGTAACACTGGATTTCAAGTGGGGGGTGGGGGTGGGGAGAGGGTGGGGGTGAGGAGAGGGTAGGGGTGGAACTTCTATTGAAAAATGATAATTTGGGGGCTGGGGAGATGGCTCAGTGGGTAAAATCACAAGCAAGCAGGGGGGCCTGAGTTCAAATCACCAGCATCCATGTAAAAAGCTAGGGCTGGCCACGTGAACACCTGTAAACCCAGTGCTGGCTGTGAGGGTGGAACAGGAGTATCGCCAGTCACCAGCCTCCCTCCAAGCTTAATGAGAGGCACTTTCTCAAGAGATAAAGCAGGGAGTGATAGAGTGGGACACCCAACATTTTCCTGTCCTTTGTATGGGTACACGCATACCCACACATGCGCATACACCACACACACACACACACACACACACTCTCTCTCTCTCTCTCTCATGTGTGCACATACAAACACAAATAATAATTTCAAAAGTAGATTTCAGATGATTTTGAAACTCTCAAGTTCTCTGAGGTCAAAGGTCTGGATTCCTAGCTGAATCTCAGCTACTCCTTGAAGCCCATTCTAGAAGTCAATTAAGGCTGAAAGCTTCTACCTCTGCATGGAGTTTCCAGTGGAGCCCAAGCTGGGGAAGGGGAGGAAGTAAGAGAGTAGAGTGATGGGGCATAAGGTGGGAGGAGGATGGGGCAGTACCTGGATGGTGACGTCGTAGTTTCTGCCCAAAAGAGAAGTCTCACTGCTGGGTCCAAACACAAGCAGGCTGGATACTTTGATGATGCACATGCGACCGGATTCAAAGATGGGCTCTAGCCCATAGATGACCTTGGCCTGGGAGGCCTTTTGAAGGCCATATCCACGTCCACCCCCTCGGAGTTCCTCACTCACCAGTCGCCCAAACAGCTTGTCCCCCCAGCAGCCAGAGTCAGCCAGACCCTTAGCAAACACCATGGGGGTCATCTCAATCTCTTCTCCAACTGAGGGGCAACAAGAGAGATGTGAAAACTCGGAGCTTCTGCTTGACAGATATGGGGCCCACAGGGGGAAAAAGGTCCAAATAATCCCCACACTGTTCACCTACATTCATTTTCTATACGTGATTGCTCTTGGGATGCACACCCCGAGTTCCCTACCAAACTGTAAGGTATTTGGGGCAAAAACCACCTGATTCAAAGTCTGTCATTTAACAGTGCTCCTATGATACCCATCACATAGTAAATGCTCAACAAGTGCCTGTGGAAGCAGGAGTCTTCTATGACAGTTGCAGTCAACACAGACTACCAGAATTACCTTCTTCTAGAGTTAAGTGTTTTAAGCAAATAAACCAATGAATGGCTCCATATGAACCAACATATTTGATGAAACAAAAAGCTTGAAGGATCAATCCAGTAGCAGTGAGTACCACTCATTAGTGCTTAACATGGATGCTAACCACCATTATCCACTAAAAAGAACCAGAGCTCCCTGAAGAAATGATTGGTTCCAGGGCTCAGCAAGAAGTGTACAGGATGAAAAGAAAACATTGTCTGAGGCCAGAAAATAAGGAAGTCATCAAGAACTATAGGACAGTGGTGGTACAGGTGTTTAATCCTAGGTACTTGGGAGCCTGAGGCAGTAGGATCAAAAGTTCAAGGCCTGTGTATGTTTTAGAGTTTAAGGCTAGTCTGGGCAACTTACTGAGACCTGTTTCAAAATAAAAAGTGAAAAAAAAAAAAAAGAAAAGAAAAGAAGAGGCCAGGCATGGTGTCGCATGCCTTTAATACCAGCACTCGGGAGGCAGAGGCAGGCAGATCTCTGAGTTCAAGGCCAGCCTGGTCTCCAAGTCAGCTGGGGCTACAGGGAAACTCTGTCTCAGAAAGACCAAAAATAAAAATAAATTTAAAAATTAAAAAAGGAAAAAGGATTAGGGAAGGGATATAGCTCGATGTAGAGCTTGCCTAGCATATGCTCCAAGTGGGTTCATCCCCAGCACTGTAAAATCAAAACAAAACAAAATGACAAAAAACTTCTGGAGACTTGTCAAAAGGACAAAGGAACCAACTGAAGGGGTTCCCTTTGGTCAAAAATGAAATGATTTTAGCTGTCACATCTCACTGTTCATTTGCCTTTGGAGACAATGGCTTACTATGCAGCCTAGGCAAGGCTTCAGCTCATAACCCTTCTGCCTCAGCCTTCCCTAGACCTGAGGTATAGGCATGTAACACCAGATCCAGTCTGTGGGTTATCCTTGCCAAGAAAAAAAAAAAAATTACACCTGAATCTGAATCTTACCAAAACATCTAAAGTGAGAGTCTGCCTCAAAAAACTAAGGTGGCCAGGCGTGGTGGCACACGCCTGTAGTCCCAGCACTTGGGAAGCAGAAGCAGGTGGATCTCTGTGAGTTCAAGGCCAGCCTGGTCTACATAGTGAGTTCCAGGACAGCTGGGGCTACAGGAAGATCCTGTCTCAAAAAGACCAAAAAAAAAAAAAAACAAAAAAAAAACTAAGGTGGACAGCTCCTGAGGAACAACACCAGAGGTTGACCACTGGCCTCAACACTCACGCACACACACCTACACCTGCACACATGAACACAAAGAAATTTTATGCGCCAAATGACTTCAATAAATGAATGGCAAGAAGAGAAAACAAATGAGGAGGGAGGAACAGTTACATATTACACAAGACAAGAGATATAGCTTCTGATTCAAATAAACCAACACATGGAGACACTAGGAAAAGCTGACATTTGATGATTTTAAATAATTCCTACTAAGTTGGCCAGGTGTGGTGGCACATGCCTTTAATCCCAGCACTTGGGAAGCAGAGGCAGGCGAATCTCTATGAGTTCGAGGCTAGCTTGGTCTATATAACAAGTCAGCCAGGGGTACAGGGGGACCCTGACTCAAAACACCAAAATAAATTAATAATAATAACAATAATAATAATAAAATTCCTACTAAGTTCTTCATATGGTTAGGTTTTTTTGGTATTGTTTTGTTTTTTCAGTCCAGGCTGGCTTGGAACTCACTATGCAGACCAGGTTAGCCTCAAACTTGTGATAATTCTCCAGGCTCTGCCTCTAAGTGCTGGGATTACAGGCATGTACCACCATATCTAGCCCAGATTTGGGTTTATATGTGACAGATATTAAATGTTAATGATAACTGAACAAAGGGGATTTAGGACACTCTCCTCTGATAGTCAAGCCCCTGAAGTGTTTGTCAAACATTGAGGGTAGTTGAATGAGGAGGCGCACACCTTTAATCCAGCATTCAGGAGACAGAGACAGGCAGATCTCTGTAAATTTGGAGGCTAGCCTGGCCTATACAGCAAGTTGTGGGCCAGTTAGGGCTATATAAGAAGACCCTGTCTCAAAACAAAATAAGACAAAACAAAAAAAACAACAATGACAACAACAAAACAACTTTGGGGTATCTCACTATCACCAGGGACTCACAGAAAATGCATTTTTCCCAGGTCCTTCCTAGATATATGAGCTGTCTCATTAGGTGCTGAGAAGCTGTGTTCACAGCAAGATGCCTGTATAACTCCAATGCAGGAGTTCACAGAGCACTGTGAGAAACTCTGGGACCTCTCCTGGCCAGTTCTGCCCTTGACCAAAGACTCTGAAGTAGGCAGAGAGAATAGGGCTACATTAACTTCTGCCAAGTGCTCCCTTGGCCACTTCCCTCAGAAACACCAGTCCTCCTTCATCACCTTCTGCAAGCTACATCCTAAACTGGGAGGCAAAGGGTAGCAGCACAGAGATTTGAGAAGAATTCTAAGCTCCTAAAGAAGGATCCCCTGCAAAGGGCAGGGCTGGGAATGAAGACTTGCCCTCCATCCCAGAGGGATAACATACCTTCACCTTCCTCCCTGGAGATGAAGCCGGACAACACTATATGAAGAGAAAAAGAAGCCGCTGTCTTCAGGCTGCTCTGCCCAGGCAAAGCACCATCTCTGCCCTGTGGACTGCTACCGTCCACAAGACCAGGCCAACAGAGACCCTGGCAGCAGCACACTCACCTTCAGAGCTGAGGCAGAAGTCAGTGGAGGCCGAACCGTGCTCATTGTGAATGGTGCATCGATATACGCCACAGTCCACTGGGGATGCCTGCACAATGGCCAAGGCCGCCGGCCCCTCGTCCCCTGCACTGCAGAGAGTGGAGACCCTTCTTGTGAGGGCCATCACCATGACACAGGGCCTTCAACCCAACTCTCAGAGGCTGCTGTGAACCCAGGCTCTGGGAGCCCTGGGGAGGTGGTGAGAGGTTCTATGGTCAGAAACTGGTCCTGGATCACACAGGTCTGGCATACAATCATGACACCTACTAGTTGTATGACTTAGGACCTGTGAGCCTCAATTCTCTCATCCCCACATAGAATAACAGACTCTCAACTCATAGGGTCATTATGAGGATTAAATGAGGAAAAGGATTCGAAACATTAGGACAATGTCCAACGTAATTACTGTAATTAGGGAGCTAGGCCAGGTGGAGGTGGTATCCATCTAGGTGGCTTACCTCCTGCCCACTTCGCCCACTGGGTGCTGATCCTTGGCCCATGTCAAGACTGAGTCACTAACAATGTTGAAAAACTGGCACCAGAGCTTCAGGCTACCAGAGGCATCTGGAAACTGTTCCACTCTAATTTTCCGGATCACCTGTGGAGCTGAGAATGGGAACCCAGTTACAAGGCAGAAATGCTATTCCCATCTTGTGCCCTCTCTGGTCATACCCCTGCATCCCTGGGTATCCTTGGTAGAACAAACTGAAAGAAAATAGTAAACACAAACCCAGCAATTCATATCCAGGGCTGCCTCCTTTCTGTATCTCAGGCTTTTGCCTTGATCCCCCAGGGCACAAATTTTAGGAAGAACCTCACTCAACCCCAGGCCAAGGGAGGGCCTTACTGCAAAGCAACCAAAAGCTGGAAGCAGTAAAGAAAGGCATTTCACATTTTGTGGCCCTATCTCTACACGCCTGTGTTTGAATCCACCCCGCAATGGTGTAATCTTGTAATAAGCCTGCATATGGGTGTTGGTGATGGTGATGGTACAGCTCAGATGCCACTGAAGCCAGGTCTTATGTTGTTTTGCTTGTTATTGGTTTTGGTTTTGGAGACAGGGTCTCCTTATGTACACAGCCCAGGCTGACCTTGAACCTTCAATTCTACCTTAGCTTTCAGAGTGCTGGGATCACAGGAGTGCATGGCAGCACCTCACCTAGCATTTCATTTCTCCTATGCCATTTAACCCTCACAATGTGACAGGGTTATGCTTCCTCTCTTTCTCATGGCTCCTGAAATGGAAGTATATTCCAAAGGGAACCTGCCAATCCCTAGCAGGGTTGGGTGGTGCTGGGGCAGGAGCAGTCTGCAACTTCCTGGCAGCCATTCCTTTCCAGTGCTCACCTTTCAGCAGGTCTTTGGCGTTCCTGGGCTTAGCCAGAGGTTCCTGCTTGCCTTCATCCAGGACAGATTCTGAGTCTAGTCCACTGGCTTTGGGGCTGGAGCCCAGGTCTTCAGCTGTAGACTCCTCCTCTGCCCGAGGCACCTCCAGCATGCTGGCCTTTCTGCCCTGGGTGGGGGAGCGCCTCTCTCGCCCTGGAGTCCCTGGGGACCCAGGCACCAGGCCTTTCCTGGGCCCACGAGGGGAAACTGTGGGGCTCTCCCTTTCTTCAGACTTGTTTGCCTCTCCATCCGCTGCTGCTCTGACCTTAGGAAGAAACCTTTTCCTCCGGGCCCCCAGAGCCAGTTCCTCAGGTGTAGCTGCAGGGAGCCCTGTCAGAGCTTCTGCTGGACCCTCCTCATCTTGGCAAGGCTCCTGGATTCTGCTCTCTACTGCTTGTCCACCTACTTCCCCCTTCCCAGACTTGACACTTTCCTGAGATATAACCTCCTGGGAAGCTTCTCCCTCACCAGCATCAGATTCTTCCTCACCCACCACAATGGCAGGAATGGTGACGGGGCTGGGGCATGGGGCCCGGGAGCCCTGGGCAGCAGCCAGAGCCTGCTGGCCAGCCTGCACCTCGCGGTCCAGGAGGCCAGTGAGGCGGCGGGTGGTACAGGGGCTCAGCAGCAGGGTCTGTGCACTCTGTACCAGGTGGTTGTTCTCCACACGTTCCAGGATGCGCCTAGACGTTCTGGGGCTAAGCCCGGCCACTTCCATGGTGGGGACCAGACTGGAGGAAGGTGCTAAGCCTCCAGTGGCAGCCTCTTCTTGGGACTCTGCCCCAGCTTCCTTTGTCTCTGTGCTAGACAGCTTCAGCAGCAGAAGCAAGTAGTTCTTCAGGGAATCTATAAGACCAGGGTCACAGCTCTGGGTGCCTGGGGACCTCCCCTCCACATTTGGCTCTTTGGCACAGGCACCCTTTCTGCTGGTAGCCATGATTTCTGATGGGTGAGTCTGGGTGGGGGGCCCTGGTCCCAGGTGCAGAGTGGGAGCTGAACTCAGCAAGGCCTGGTCCCTGGAGGGCAGGATGGCCTCTGTGCTTATGTGCTGAGAAGCTGGGGTGCTGTGCAGTCCCTCCTGCAGGCTATTGGTCAGACCAATTCCAGGAAGAGATGGCATGGTGGGCACCTCCTGGCTCAGGCCAGTTGAATGAAAACCAGGGAGATCAATACATAGCATTTCCTCTGGCTGTTCCTTCTTGGGGCACTCAAACAGGTTGCCCTCTGGCTTGGCCTTAACCAGGCCTAACAACTCAAGCCTTTGGCATGTTTCTCCTCCCACCTGCTCCAAACTGCCTCCAGGAGGCAGCTGGGCTGGGTACAAATGGTTCTCTGACAGGGGACCTAGTACAGTGTTCTCATGGTTTCTGAAGGCTGTTACAGGTGGCTCTTCAGATCTGAGAATGAAACTAGGTTTTGCTGGAATACAAGATGCCTCTGAGCTCTTCTCAAAACATTCCATAACCTGAGGGCATTCTGATGGTGGGAGTTTGGGGACTCTGGGCAGTGGGCTGAGGCTGGTCACAGATGACTGCTCTGATTGGGCTTTGAAAGCTGTGGGAATGCTGCCCTCTGACTGTGTCCCCTTTTCTTCCTGCATCCTTGTGTCCCTCGCATCTTCCCGTATCCTCTCATATGCCTGTGTCTGTCCTACCTCCACCGTTTTCTGTGCCACCACATCCTTCTGTGATTGCCTATCTAACTGTGGCCTCTCACTTCCTTGTGTCACAACATCCACCTGTGCTTTCTTGTCTGTCTGTGTCCTCTGGGCTGCTTGTGCTCCATCTCCCTGGGTCTTCCCATGCACCCGTGGCTTTCCATCTGTCTGTGTGCTCTTCCTGTTTCCAATTCTCCCATCATCCAATGTTCTTCCATCCTCCTGGGTTCCTGTATCCATGGGCTCAATGACACCTTGGTTTTCAGAGCTGCTGCTGACAGATATAGTAGAAGCTATGGTTGCCTGGGACTCCAAAGCCTGAGAATCAGGGACAAAAGCAGAGACTTAACTACACATGCATTAAGTACTCTGCAGCTTCCCCGCTTCTCCTCTGACCTCATCCAGAACTGTTCTGAATAGAATCCTGCCACCTGGTTCCTCAGGACTGCTTGAAGGTTGGGAGGCAGAGACATATGACAAAGTCCCAAAGCCCCATATCCCAGACATGATCCCAGAAATTAGATTAAGGAACAGCTAGAATCTAGGCCTATCTGGCCTTCTTACCTCTTTCTGAAGAAATCCTGTGTATCTTGAAAAACTGTTCTCCAGTGATCCTCCTTTCACCTCTGCTATCTGGAGGATACTGTCCTCTCTACAGGGCTCCCGAAGTATACTACCTGCCTTTCTTCCCTTTCCCTTTCTCTTTTTCCCTTTCCCTTCCTTCCTTCTTCTTTCCTTCCCTTATTTCTTTTGGAGGGTGGGAAGCAGGGGGTTCAGACAGTGTTTCATGTAGCACAGGCCCACCTCAAACTCACTATGTAGCTGAGGATGATCCTCCTGCTTCCACTTCCTGAGTGCTGGGATTACAGGCATAAACCATCACTTTGGAACTAAAGCATGGGTGGAAATCAAGCTGAAGACCAGAGGAGATGTCCAGCAAGGATGAGGAAAGGAAACTGAAACAGCTCTGAGGCAGCAGATCTCAGAAAACAGCAAAAATACACTCCTGAAGAAAGATCTTGAAAACTGCTGAGCTAAGAAAATTGTTTGGGGGCATACAAGGACCTACATATGCCTCCCCTGAACACCACTTGAGCAAGCAACTAGGAAACAAATTTCAGTCAACCAAAAGATGATTGAGGAAGCCACAAATAATCTATGGAAAGCACTAAATATATTTATCTTATGTTAACAGAGAGAACCAAGACTAAAATCAAATGGAATTCAGAGTGGATGATCAGAATGCCAATAGGAAATGCAGGGACAACACAGAAACAACAGAGTTAGCACAAAAATGGAAGCAGGAAGAAGACAGGTAGAGTAAGTTTGCTGATGGTGTCACTCATAAGAGCCAGCCAGGAGCCAGGCTGGCCATGCAGCTCAGCTGATAGAGTGCTTGCCTACCATGCCCAAGGCCCTGGGTTCCATCCCCAGCATGGCATAACCCAGGTGTGAAGGTGCACACTTGTAATCCCAGCACTCAGGAGGTAGAGGCAGGAAGATCAAAAGTTCAAGGTCTTCCTCAGTTACATAGCTAGTCTAAGGGCAGCTGGTGATACTCAAGACCCTGTTTCAGAAACAGAAAAACCAACCAACCAACCCAGGAGCCAAATCATTACTCACAGCTGTGAAGTCAAGTAACAAAAATGTAGGATATTTAACTTATACAACTATGAGATAGAAGGTAAACAGAAAAAATGGGGAGAAGTGGAAACATTGTCACTGCTCATGTAAAAAAAGGACATTGATATTCCTCCCCTGAAGCCCCTCCCACTCTGGGGAGTTCTTTCTCACTTTTCCTTAATAAGTCTATGTTTATTCTATTTTAAATATTTTTTTATTTATTTTAATTTTATGTATATGAGTGTATTGCCTGCATGTATGTGAGTGCACCAGTGTTGTGCAATGCCTTGGAGGTCAGAAGAGGGCTTTGGATTCCCCTGGAACTGGAGTTAAGGACAGTTCGTAGCCGCCATGTGGGTGCTGGGACTTGAACCTGGGTCCTTTGCAAGAGCAGTCAGTGCTCTTAACTGCTAAGCCATCTCTCCAGCCCATTTACTCTATTTTAAAAAATCAGCACTGGGGCTGGAGAGATGGCTCAGTGGTTAAGAACACTGGCTGCTCCGGGCATGCCTGTAATCCCAGTACTGTGGAGGCAGAAGCAGGTAGATCTCTGTCAGTTCAAGGCCACCCTGGTCTACATAGTCCGTTTCAGGCCAGCTGGGGCTACTAACGACCATCTGTAAATCCAGTTCCAGGGGAATGTGATGCCCTCTTCTGACCTCTGCAGGCACTGTATAACATGGGTGCATTTACACACATGCAGGCAATACACTCATACACATAAAATAAAAATATTTAAAAAAAAAAAACACTAGCCAGGCGTGGTGGCACACGCCTTTAGTCCCAGCACTTGGGAGGCAGATCTCTGTGAGTTCAAGGCCAGCCTGGTCTACATAGTTCCAGGACAGCTGGGGCTACAGGGATACCTTATCTCAAAAAGACCAAAAAAAAAACAAACAAACAAACAAACAAACAAACAAACAAACCCACTAGCGGAATAGATCAAGGAATATTATATAAAATTCAAATTATAAACACTACAAATATTTATAAATATCATGTAGAATCATACCAAACATATCCACATAATGATTTAAAATACATACAAACATAAAATTAAGTCGAGAATTTAAAGTTTCTTTATTAAATATATATATTTTTTTAATCTTTTTGAGACAGGGTGTCCCTGTAGCCTAGCTGGCCTGGAACTCACTCTGTATACCAGGCTGACCTTGAACTCACAGAGATCCACCTGCCTCTGCCTCCCCAGTGCTGGGATTAAAGGTGTGCAGCACCACACCAGGTTGAATGAATGGTACAAATATGGGAAAATAGTGTGGTGAATAGTGGAAGTTGGACTGAAGAATTTTTATTTTTTAAAGGTTTTATATATTTTTTTTGTGCATGAGTGTATTGCCTATATGTATGTCATGAAATGCCTGCAGAGGTCAGAAGAGGGCATCAGATTCCCCTGGAACTGGAGTTATGAATGGTTGTTAGCCACCATGTAGGTGCTGGGAATTGAACCTGGGTCCTCTATAAGAGCAGCCAGTGTTCTTAACCACTGAGCCATCTCTCTATCCCCTAAAGAGTTTTTATTAAAATTCCAACTTCTCTGACAACCAGAAAAATACTAACAGATAAAGCACCTTGGCGTCAACAGATGCAATTAGTAATGTATTAGAGAAAACTTTTAACTCCTGACATTCTGGGATTAGAAAATATAAATATATATAGGGCCTATAAATTTACAAAGAAAGTGCTGCCATTGTGCATGAGCCTGCTGCAGCTGCTCACAAGACTCGTAAAACAGAACTTAATTAAAACTGCTCTCATCTACCTTACCTTTATTTAACTCCCTTTGAAGCCACTTCATTGCCTCATCCACCCACCTCTGTCCCCACTGCCAACTGCCTCATCCAAGTTGCCAATAATAGTGTCATTGCCTGGATTACCCAAAAGCCTCCTGATACTGGCTGTGCTTATTCCTGACTCTGCTAACTCTTATACTCAATGCAGCCCATGTGATCGTCCCAAAATACTTTTTTTTTTAGATGGGAGTCTCATATAGCTCAAACTGGCCTCAAATTCCCTCTACACCTGAGGCAGCCTTAAACTCTTGATCCTTCTTCCTTTGTCTTCCCAGTGCTGGGATAACAGGCACATTCTGTTGTTGTTGAGACAGGGTCTCCTCAAAGCCTCAGATGGCCTGGAACTCGCTTTGTAGACCAGGTGGTCCTTAATCTCACATAGACCTGCCTGACTCTGCCTCTCAACTCATCGGATTAAAGGTGTACGCTGACTACAAATGCTTTTTGAGACAATTTCACTCTTAGTAATTTAACCTACAGATATGCTTTCATGTGCAAATGGACTAACATATAAGAACAGTTTTATTTTTTACATTTATTTATTGTTTGCAAAGGCATTTTCTTTGTAAATTTACAGGAGCTACATATATACTATTTTCAAGTCCTAGAACGTCAGAAGTTAAAAGAAATTTCTGATCTACTGCTAATTGTTGTCTGTTGGCTCCAAGACTCTGCCTGTTAGCATTTTAGTTAATGCTGCCAATACAAGATTGAACCAACTGATTGTGATACATCCATTTTCCAAATAAATATTCAAATCAAAAAGCAAAGTGGAGGATGGAAAAAATAAAA